AGGTATTTCAACACCCCCATCTAGTAGGTTTTAATGACGAGCATGTTAATTTCAAACAAAACCTAATCGTTCCTTGCAGATACGTTTGCAAAAAGTTTATAATTATCTCTGCAAATAGTCGTGACTTTCAGTCGCTTGTTGTCCCAAGCTGAACTTTGATTCTATTTTTAAAATTTATCATTTTATTCACTTTAAAAACTCGAGTTACCTTTTTATCTTAACTCGATTGCTTTTATCATTTTTAATCAACCTAAATTTGTTGGTTTCAGCTAATTGATATTTCGAATAAATAAATTTGCAAAAAAAGATTTGTCATATCAGACTTAGTGTATGATAGCTTTCGAGTTCTTTAAATGTAAATGGACTCAATTAAACTTTGATAAAATCAAGACTTCAGGTATGCGCACTTAGATGCACTTATATTCAACTATTTTCCTACGCAAAAAAATCAACTGATAAAAATGATTAAAATGAAAAGGAAATGAATCGATTTACGTCATTGACTATCTTCTTCAAACAATTGCGAGTAAATCAAACTTGATCTGAGAAAGTAAATTTTTACATGCTGTTAAAATAGGAATTCGGAAATGTAAATTGATTTGAAAAGTTCTTGTTTTTATCAGGAAATTATAAATGAGAAAACTACTATAATTAGGTCAAGGAATTCCTGAAATATTTTTTTTGTTTGATAGCTCGATTGGCGATAATTTTGTTGATTATCGTGCAAAGAATTGATTTTTGATTTTCCGAAATCTCGAAAACAGTAAGAAGAGACTTTTTATTTACAAAAATCTTTTTTTACTAAATTTTTTTTTGTCCGATTAAAATTTTTGTCCGATTTTATTGCTTAAAATCTGTAAAAAATGTATTTTATATGCATTTTTTCTGTATTGCCGATCGTGTTAATTTTTTGTTCAAAAATTTAAGAATTTTGTTTTTCGTTTTTGTATTAATTGATACTCTTTTTAATTTTTAAAACTTAATACAAGGAGAATAGGCAAAATTTCTGGAAAATTATGATTACAAATCCGATTTTGGTTCAGAATTTTGTCAGTTTTTGTTCAACGGTTATTGGTGGTCATTTATCTTAATTAGCCCGAAAATTGACATATAAAAAACTATGAATATCATCAATTTAAACGAAATTTTGTTTACAAAAATTGCAGAAAAATCGTTTGTATCATCATTTTAAATCATAAAATAGAATGAAACATTAAATGAAAATATAGCAAAAAAATCTTTGATTTTATTTTTTAAAATTCTGCTGTTGGGCCTGCATTTCACACGAATTACGAATCTAAACTGGGTAATTGGCATTTTTTACGCAGACTCCACAACATTGCTTATTGTCTTTTTTGTAGCTTAATTGAATCCTGTTTAAAAAATTGCAGAATCGGGAATAGTTTGTGGAGTCCACAAACAAATATTTAATTATTAAGTTGTATACTAAAATTTTGCGGAACCCTAATCAGTTGCGGAATCTTCCTAAAACTTGCAGAACCTGTGGAACCCGCTTAAAATTGCGGAACCTTCTTGCAGCTTGCGGAAACCACTTTCATCAATATATTTTTAAATAATTTTTTTTAAATTTTACAGCTTTTGCTTATATTTTTAAAATCAAAATAAAAATCTTCAAAAAAATCTGAGCATTGTTCCCGTTTTTGATCTATCTGCTTTGCCGCAATATGAAAATTCAAGAGAAAAAGAAACGAGAAAAGAAAAAACTTCAGCAAATCAGTTAGATTCATTTTTTTATCAGTTTTTTAAAATAAATAACGTATTAAAATAGAGAAAAACGAGTTTTACAATCCAATTGTATGAGGTTTGGTTTTCGGAAGTAGTTTTTAATTAAGATATTGAATCTTAAATTTTAATGAAGTCGAATAGGTTCCTCAGTAACTTATATTGAACTGAATTGGATTGAAAACGATCTGAAATCTGTATTCGGTCCGTTTTTCAATCTGATTCATAATTTTTGTCTGCTTTTATTAAGTTGAAAAAAGATCAAAGGCAAGAAAAATTGATTTTCAGTCATTTTAAAGATGATTTTTTATTTTAAAATTTTTTGACCTTGATTCAACCTTGTACGGTTTTTAGTGATTTTTTAAAAGTATTTGATTTTTTTAATCTAATTAAAATAACAGATAAAACTTGTTACAACAAAATTAAATTCAACTGCTCAATTGATGGACCGTTTTTGAGAAAATTTCATTGAAATAAGATGAGAAGTTCTTATTAGTTTTTATTAGGTTGTGAAAACTATTTTAGAAACTGAAAGTATGTTTAGGCTGAGCTGGATTGAGTTTTCACTCAAAGTTTGTTAAATACAAAAATTAAATAGACTACTGAAAATTGGGTTGAACCATATTTGTGGTGACTTGGATTCCCAAGATAAGGCTTAAAAATTGTGCGTCTTGAGAGAAAAAAGAAAAAAAATTTTCTGATAAGACAATTTTTACTTAACCAAACTGGATTTAAGAGCGTTCCTTAATATTTGAATTTAAAAAGTTGCAATACCTTTTGGTAATTACTGGAGAAAAAAAAACAACCTAACAAATGATTTTGTAATTATTTTCAAGGAGGCTTTGCGATTTTGTTATTATTTTCAAAGGCTTTCACCACAGAAAGCCTTTGAGCAAAAACCTTTTCACATTGCCCCAGAAAAAAAATTATGAACAGCAAAAATATTGGCCAAATAGAAGATGTTTCTTAGCAATTAAGTAACTTGCTCTTTTTGAGCGTTTGAACATGCTTATACCAATAAAAAGAAAATTTTGAGCTCATTTGCCATCATTGTGCTTTTGTACTACTGTGTTTTTTACGGTGTCAGTATGTTCGATGAGATTTTTAATGTTTCGAATAAAAGCTGGAAAAAACATTGGCTTCCATATAGCCTTTACATCAACAATGACAGCCATAAACCAGGTACATGCAAATCTGAGAGCAAAAATACGTTGACAGCTATATCATTCAAATGAGAGTATGAGAAGCTTTGTGGTTTTTGAATTTTGAATTATCTAGTTGCGTAGCATTTTTTCTCTGGTACCTATTTAAGTAGGTTTAAATTGTATCGAAACTTACATATTGCCCAAATTTTCAAGTACAAAATTTAACTTGCGTTCGTTTAATGACTTTTTAAACCAAATAAAATGAACAAAGCCTACAGTCATTTGGAAAGCGTCAATGATCGAAAGGAAACAGAAAAAGACGGACATTTTTTTTCTTAAGAAAACGAATTTCAAAGTAAAAATTTTTGGCCTTGAACCTCTTTGATTTTCGATTCGAATTGATGACTGAAAGTGTTTTCGATTGAATTAATTGAGAGTTCTGGATAAACAGGCAAACTTTTTGTTCCGCTGGGAAATCTAAAAACTAAATTCCACCTTACAAATTACAATTAGTAGGCGTTTGTTTTTGCGCCATTTTAGCTTTCACAATTGGATAGTACATTCTGCGTACTTTTTAGCAAATGAATTTAATTTGTAATCAAAACGAGCGAAATTATCTAAGTGCATTTATAAATGCGTTAATACGTATGAATCTGTTGTTATAAGAGACTTTCCTGAAAAACGAAAAAAAACTCACCTATATAAGAATCTATATACCATGAATATTTAAGCGGGGATCCTATATATCAGCAAAAAGACTTAGAAGAATCTTCACTGCATTCATCGACTAATAACAAAAGATCAACAAAAACCTTACCACTCTCAAAGGTTTTCAAAACAGGGTACAAAAATTAAAAGTAGATTAAAATTATACTAATATCAGACAAGGAGTAAAATTTTAGACGAATTTTGACCTCTCTTAATCTACACTTCGTTTTCAATAGATAGAATTAAAAAGATCACTAGTGTCCAGAAAATTTAGTCTGATTATCATTTTTTCACTTTCAGTTTTTTTTTGGAATAATTTCCCCATATTTTATCTTAGCTCTATTCACCTACTTGATTTTGTTTTTGCTATTTGCTCAACAATCGACCACTTTTGGGTAGCAATTGTTTTCAGCTGACTTAATCACTTATAACCAACTACATGTAGTTGATTTCCAGTAATTTTAGTACCAAAAAAGCAGACTAAAAGACATTGTTAAGTTTGCACGGTGCTCTTTATGCTTTTTACAAACTTCAAACCAACAAGTCGGCACAATTTGACTTTGAAGTTAGGCACGCAGTATAAAAATTGTCTGGAGCCGAATAAATTTTCTTGTTAAAATAACTTTCCAAACCGAAAACCCACAAAAAACAATTTTATTCGATTTTTTTCTTTTATTTTCTGTTTTGTAATGATTTTTTTAGTTGTCGGAAATCACGAAAACTAATTGTTGTTTTCCTTGCTACTAGAATATTGAATGGTTGATCGTAAAAAGCTTGATATTTAAAACCAACAACCCAGACATTCTAAGGTTTTCATTCACGTCTACGCGGGGTGTATTTAACAATCAAGGTTATTCCTTAAAACGCTTCTGAATAGAAATCATTTCTTGAGCTTCGAAAATTAATGCTGAATTGTTTAGCTCTTTCTTATTCCCTCGCTCATGCTAACTTTAGACTTGAGGCAATCTTGCTATTGTCTGGTGATCCATTTTTTAAATTATACTGGTATTCATGGTATATTTTGTACCATGCTGGTTATTGCAACGCTAAGCGTTCAGGGTTGAAAAGAAACTAGTTGACATATTTATAATCTCCTGTCTGTATTTCAGTCCTATTGACTACAATAATTTATTCTGACATAAATTTCGTTACTACGCTATTCAAATAAATTGAAACAGGGCGAGGTATACAAAACAGTTCCTGTTTTGTTTTAAGTAAAAGTCAATTTTTCATTTCCATTTAAAGCAATCATCATATCACCTTTTCAGGTAGTGCAAGTAAGCTTGAAATTTATAAAAACACTGTAAAATAAATACTCCATTATCGCACGTTTAAAAGAAATTGGATTACTATTTCTACCTTTTAAAGCTCTAAATTTGTTTTTTAAAGGATACCAGAAGAAAAGTCAAAGCTATTTTATTACGCTACCTATAAATGCATTGACAGCAAAACGCTCCAAGCTGTTTAATAGGTGTAAAAAACGAACCAATTTTTACGCAAAATTACGTGATATTTACATTTTTCCTGTTGTAATTGTTTATTGTTTATACGTTTTTCGCTATAATACATGCAAAAAAGAAAACGGCGTGAAAAAATACGTTTTAAAAATATGGAGGAAGTTACAAGTCAAATTAAAACAACAAACGACACCGAATGAAAATAATTACCATTGACGTTTTCTTGTTTGTTTCTTTTTTATCACACAACCAGTTGAATGTATTATGCATTCAGTTTTTACCCACAATTGACTAATTCAACTTCCGTGCTTTTTAATCTGGCGAGCAAATCAGTCAATAATGTCCGCACAAAGAATTTTCAACTCTGCCAATTTATCACTTCAATTAAAGTTGCTAATTTTCCTCCTAAAATAATTTTTATTCACTTTATTTTACTGAGTACATAGAAGAAGAATTACCATTTTAATTGTTACAGTTAGTTATTGCTTGTTACAACGTATTCTTATCAATTACCGTTGCTTAAGTGGTGCGATAATTAGTTTTTAGTCTAACAATTTTCGTAAGTTTTCTACAACATAGGCAGTTCAAAAAATCGAAAAAAAAATATCAGAAACTGAGCGGAAAGTCATGCAAGAACGATTTTTGCCTAAGAATACTTAAACTTTTGGTTTTTCCTGAAAAATTTTCGCGCAGTTCACCTTATTTTGCAGAATTTAAGCAACTTTTTGGTTTTTTTTTTCAGAAGATTTAAGGAAGATTTTGAATCTACGTTATATATTTTTTTTCTTTTTTTTTTCAATTGGGTTTCAGCGCTTTCAGTTCTATCAAAAATTCAGCTAGTTTCTAGCAGTATCTTAGCGGATTTTTTTTTCGATGCCACCTAAACATATTTAGCTTCAGACGATGCATACTTTTGGATGCATAGTTGCTGCCAAACTAAAAATTTTCGATTGAGTGAAATTAGTATTGACTCTAAGTTTTCAATCAATTTAATACAAAATCTTAAACTCTCGAATCAGGGGGTCATGTTTCAAACAGAAGGCGTTTTGTTACGTATAACTTATGCAGTGGACCAATACGCTTGTTCTTTGGTAAATACTCATTATTTCACAAAAATATGAAGAAAGTCTGTGTTTTTTGTGAGCTGTAAGCGGATTCCGCAACAAGGACGCTCCCTTTGTTCTTCCTTTGTTCTTTCATTCTCTTTGATCTTTGCAACAGAATTTTAAAGACTTGTCATGTTTGAAGACTTGTCTCTCGAATCCAGAAACATACAGACACAAAATTGTGCGCCTATCCAGTGCACAGTTTAGCCTTGCAATGTACTTCGAAAAAAATGCTTAATTTATAATGTTTTTGTCACACTCTGGAATTAAACAACTAACTTATGGTTAACTTTTTTTCCATACTCTAAAAATTCATGGAATAATTTTTTTCCATAATTGAAAATGGATAAAACACAAAACTTTGAAACAATTTTTTTTAAAATTTTCAATTATGAAAAAAAAATTATCCAAATTTGTAGGGTTTGGAAAACATGCTTATCATAAAATTTCACAGCACGAAAAACTTGGTTTTGATTTTTTTTCATACATTTTTCTTAGTTACTGTTGTTGGATAAAACACAAAGCTATCAAACAGATTCTTTTTTTGCAAAAACAGTAAACAAGGAAGTTTCGGTGATTGAGAAAAAAGGTCAGTTTTTTCACAAACTTTGTTATATCATCAAAAAAATAATATTGACAAGTTTTTAAAAAAACAATTGTTTGTGAATTTTGTTTTTTTTTTGGGTACAAATTTCAACCTGGATATCGTTATAGAGACATAGTATCAATTTTTTTGCCAAAGTTTCTCGCATGTAATCAAAACTGCTACTGATTTGTTTTGTTTGAGTTTTCAACCAATTTCAGATAATTTTCGAAAAAGTAGACGTCAACACGGGTTGCCTCGTAAAAAATAGCAAACTATAAATTTTGTTCGTAATGGTACAATTTTAAAAGTAAATTTTGTTTGGCCGATGCGTAAGGGATCTTCATCAACCAAGGTGTTGGAAGCTCCAAGTAGCGTGCTCGAAACGTTCATATGTCAAAACGTTATTAAATTGGTTATGGAAAAGAGGTTGAAAAAATAACTTACAATTCTACGACGATCACAATTACACAAAGTTACAACCCGTTTCAAAAGATCTAGTTTTTTGTTTTGAACTAGCTGTTAAATAGTTCCTATTTCAGAAGTATATGCACATATCTGTTTTTTAGGCAAATTATGTGCTTAACTTATGTGCGTAAAAAATTATGAAAGTTAGAAAAGTTCATAAGGTCGCAAAGTGCTTTCAAATAAATTTCTATACCGTTATTACAGATACGAAGCAATTTTTACTATAACTTCTTAATATATAATTTTTTCAAGTGCAACCATGTAAAAACTTTCAGGTTTCAGTTGTAGCTCAGGCATTTTGAACAATTTTGAAGTTTTTTTAAATAGTTTTATCAATACTAGATATGAAGCGGGTTGTTGTTCATTAGTTTTATCAGTAAAAAAGATATTTAGAGGTTGAAAGAAATAGGGGGTCAATTACACAGTTAGTTTTGATGAATCTTGTTGTATAGTTTTGAGACGTGTTGTATTCGGGATTTAGATGCAGGCGCGGATCTAGAGGGGGAAGTTTCTCAAGGGGGGAGTTTTCAAATAATTGTTGAAAATTTTGTCGGCCTTTCTTTTTTTAGGTCGACCAAAATGATTTTCTGAGCTCTCCCAAATCACTATAAAGACCCCCAGTTTGACCAAATTTTTGTGCGACGCAGGCAAGTTTTTGGAAAAACAGGCCGAGAAAGGCGTGTTTCTGGGCTTTTTTTTGGAGTTTTGACCAAAAATTGCGTTTTTTTGGCGCGCGCTCCCCCCTCAAATTAGTATATATTGGCACCCAAGGCGCCTTTAGAAAAATTTTAGGGTAGTCAGCCAAAAATGGATATCTCAAAATAGTACAAAGGAGGGACCTGTTTAGATGTATATTGAAATGAGGTTTCCAATTCTGTAAAATGTGACATGGTTTTTCCATTTAAAAGAATTTCTATTGAGCTTCTTTTGTCTAACAAAAGTCTTTTTTTTTCAAACAGTTTTGATTTTGCCAGAAGTAGAAAAAAATTATGATAAGTGTTCTGTGATAGCGACTTTTGGTCAAATCGGTTAACAATTTTTTTAACCATTTTTCCAGATTGTTTTTTTTTGTGTACAATATTACTAAATATTATTTTGCTCGGATTAGTAAAAAAACATCACAATTTACGTCACAGCTTTCAAAAACAGTCGGAATATTAATCCGTTGGGAATGACAGTTGAAAATTGAGTCAGAACTCTGTGAGACTCAATTTGGAAGTCGCTGTAAAATTTTAGTCTTTAATGTCAGCTAGGTCTCCTGCATCGAACACGAGTAAACAATTAAAAACAACAAGCGTTTGACGTTATAAAGCTGTCTTGCTGCTGAATTGCTTTTATACTTCAAAAAAAATTAGAAGACAGTTATGAAAGCAGAAACTTAGAGGGTTGAAGAAATAAGGAACACTTTAAGCGGAAAAAAATCAATTTCTAAATCATTACTTACGAAAATTAGTGATTATAAAAAGAGTAAAACTCAATGAAAGTTTTCAGTTAACGAACTTAAGAGTTGCTTATGAAAATTTTTTCTAACAGAGAATTTACGTTTTCAGAGAAAAAACAAAAACATTTAAAAAGTGAAAATCAAATTTGCAATTTTTTTTTTTCGTTCTTTATAATTTTTTAAGGCAAAACGTCTTACTTTTTCGTGATTTTTAAATGTGAACTAAAAAAATGGTTTGATTTCGTCTTAAAACACTTTCAAAACTTGAACTGATGTGCATCAACGTGCTCAACAGTTGGTCTATTCGACATAATTGAATTATTTTGATATTTACCCTTTGAAGCTAATTTCAATGGCTTCCTGCTGGCCAAAACATATTTTCATTTCTGATATTATATTTATCTATTTTTTTTGCTTCTTGCGTTTATCTTCTTCGTCATAACTGAATATTCAATTTTTTGGATATGAAAAAAATATGAAAAATTGAATCTGGAAGTTTTTTTTTTAGAAATTCAACCAATTTTTATGTATAGTTGGTTAAATTCTGCCTTCGAATTTTTTGAAAAAACTCTGAATCGCAGAGTTGATTATTTTTAGACACAGTAAGCAAAACTTAAAATCTTAAGAGTTTGTCAATAATTAAATCAGTTTAGTTATAATTAAATCCTAAGAATTTGTTAATAATTAAATCAATTTAACTATAATTGAGTTTTGAGTTATCGAATTTAAGCATTCTGTTTTTAAAATAGCTATTTTGAGAGAACTTGGGGATTTGACACTCTCTTTTTAAAAAATCTTCTTTCTGAGACTATATACTATATACGCATTTTCTACAAGGGCTGCCATTTAGCAAGCAGTTTTAGATTTGATGCTTTAAAGATATCTAACTAACGTTTGTTTTGCTTATCTCGGCTACAACTACAATTTACAAGAGAGATATAGCGCCCATGAATCATGTTTGTTTCAACTGCTTTCGAAGAAAGTGACAAAGTATTTGATATTGGAGCAGTTTTTTCTCCAGACCACCTTTGATTTTCTACGAGCCATTTTTTCAAAATCTGAAAGTTTGGTTTTCCTGAGCTCAAAATTGAAAAGATATTTTACCTCTGATTTTTTTGATTAAGTTGTGGGGCTGTAAAGTTTGCCGATTTGGCTATCCTGGAACAATTTATGGCAATTTATTTTGTGTTGATCACGCGTAAGCTGCACTTTAATCCGGTTGTTTTTCGATTTTTTGTATTGTTCATCATTTTCTTTGTTTAGTTTGGTTTAGTTTAGTTTGAAAAATTTCATCAATTCAGGAATTAATTCAAGATTTTCAATGTTATTAATCCGACTTTCAAAAAGATATTAAAAATACCATGCTTTAGTTTGAAACATTGTATCAATTAATTTTCAATCCACACAACAGACAAAAAGAGAAATATGGGTTTTTATAAAAGATTTTCAAGCTTTCGGGAACTATGCCATTTAGGAAGTTACCGTTTTCTCTAATATTCCGGGCTCAAAATTTTCTTTGTCTCAAAATACAAAACAAAAATGATTGAACTTAAAAATTGAGTAGGTTGTAGGTAAAAAAGACTTATTGCGAATTTATCAAATCTCTTGGCAAAAATATATTGTGATATAGTCTAGTGTTTTTATTAATTTTTATGATTTCAATTGAATTATAATCAATAATAACGGATTTCTTGTTTACGGAATAATTGATTATAGTAACAAAATAATCAAGTTCTAAGTCTAGATTTGCAAAGAAAAGATAATGACAAAAAAGACAAAAGTTTTCAATTACCATCAACTAGCATCCTTTAATTTTGCGTGCGGGACGCAAGCAGAGAAAAAATGAAAACTATTTGAATTTTATATTTTACGGATAATTCAAAGTGTTTTTTTTGGATCTGTGCAAATACAGATTCAACGTTTAACTTTTGGAAAAAATGCTTTTTCAGAATAAACATCCAACAAAAAAGAAATTTTGACATCTGACATTATTGTTTGAAAAGACTTACTACTTTACAATCAGTTTCTTTTTTTTAGAAGAGTAATTGTTTTTTTTTTGGTTCAATTAATTACTTCAACTGACTAGGTTTGTAAAGCCCTAGTTTTCAATTTAAAAATGATGTTTTAGGTTAATATACACATAACGATAATCAATAGCAGTAAGTCACATTTTCTAAAACTTGAGCATCAGTTTATTTATTCATTGTTAACTTAACTTCTTAGTTTTGTCTTTTTCAACGATCTTGAAAAAGATGAAAAAACTGCTCTCGATTTTCTTTCTTGCAGACAAAATTGTTTTTTTTTTCAATTTAGAATTATTTACATAGTCTGAATGATTTTGATGCCCTGGAAATAAAAAATGGAAGAACACTGCTATTAAAGTAATACGGGTTCAAACATTTGGAACAATTAATTCACGCATGATTTCCATTTTTGCATTTAACGCTTGCCCTAGGCGGCAAATTATTCTGGTTCAAAAAACATTCCGAGCCCAAATGATAAAAGCTAATTTGTGTTGGAAATTGCTTGAGAACTTTGAAAAATAATAAATTTTTTGGAACGTTTTTTTAACATTTTGTATTATAAAAAGTTATCATTTTTGTGCGCTAAAGTTTTTGTTTATGGATTATTGTTTTTAAAATTTAAATTATTTTTTTGTGAGATATAAGATTTTTTGTAGTCAAAAAAGAAAAGTTTTTGCAATAAACCAATTCCGTCTTCCCCAAAAAATATATATTATAAAAGAGAATTTATGCCATTTTAAATGACAATTTTGACATGCTTATGAATCGGTAAGCACCATCTGGTCAAAATATGTTTTCAACATTGATTAAGAACTATCAAAAATGACTACCTCTTGTCAGCTAAGCTTATAAAAACGGTCACTTTGAACTTTATACAAACAAAATATGGCCTAGAGCTAGCTCTATTTCAATTTACTTAAAACAAAAATATATATTCTCCAGATTGAAATTAAAAGGACTTTTTAGAGTTTTTTCAGACTTTTTTCTCATAACCCCGAGACTTTTCAAAATCAAAAAAAGTTATTTTTGGTAATTTTTGTTGTTTTCATTTTCATTTTCTTAGCATAGTGTATTAGCATACTCAAGTCGTTTAGTTCGTCATTTAGGTTAGTACTAGAATTTACTCAATTGATAAATGCATAGGTAATTCACCACTGTCAAAATCATAACAGCACCATATAAAAAAACTAATCCGCCGCGCTATAAGAATTTCAATATATAAAATTTCTTTGAGCAGCACAGTGATAGCCATTTTTTATAAATTCTGTTGTTTGAAAAAAGTCGTATGGAGATTTTTTTGAAGAGTTATTACTTTTTTTGCATGACTGCCTTTTGCCATTATACCATATAGAAAATAATATTGCTGTTATTTCTAGCCATTTTTGTTTTTATGTTGTTGTTTTTGGTGCCTTTTTAAAACTCAATGCAACAAGTTTCTACTTGAAAAAAAAATCCGATTAGAAAAAAATAAATTAGCTGAGTAATTTGTAAACAAAAACTCTTTTCACAGAATTATTTGTTTAAGATTGCGTAAAAACCATTTAAAGTGACTATTAAAAGGCTCTTTACTTCTATCAAACACTTTTTTGTGAAGCCCGTTGTTAAAAACCTTCTAGAATTGTATAACTCGCAACATTTTCGAAAAAGGATCTTTTTGAAATACAGGAACTCTTTTTCTCGAGATTATGGATTATAAGAAAACAGCTCAGCACCAATTTAGAAAGCGAAATTACTTGCTTTAATAAATATTGTTGTTTTAAACTGTTTTGAAAACAAGTTTGAGCGGTTTGAAATCCTAAGCATAAACTTGTGCCAAGAAAACCGTGTTTATAAATAACTAACAGTTTCTTGAAGGAATTCGATACCCATTTCTCCAAAGTCAGAATTACCAAGTTTCAGCCTATTCAATAATTTCTTGAGTTTCAGTCAATTATTTGATTTATTTGTTTTGATGTCGTAAATTTCCTAAGTTTCCGGAAATTTCTTCCCAATTTAATTTCCTGATTGCAACAATGCACCTGAAATTGAACGATCAATTTTGTCAGTTGAAGAATTCGCGTAATTTTTGAGCGCACATTTTTTTTTTATTTCATTTACAGTAAATTTTTATATAATGCACTTGTTTTCTAAACGCCAGTTTATCTTCCTTTGATAAAATTACCTTTTTGAAGATTATTTCACGAAAAAAAAGAAGCTTTCCCGGAAAAATAACGCTGAAATTATATCTTGTTTTTCCCTCGCTTATTTACATAAGAACGCCATTAAGATAAGCGACCCCCTTCGAATTTTTCAGGAGGCGGGTTTGAACAATCGTTTGTCCACGAAATTCGATTACTGTTTTCAATTTAGCTGATTGCCATTACTATAGCTCGTCTGGAAGTTTGTACAATTACGCTAATTCAAATGGGAGTTTCCATCATTTTTACAACTTTTTGCTTGTAAATTTGGTCCAGGCTATTAAAAGCAGTACTTGTTTTTATAACCGGATCATGATTTGTATTTCCATAAATTTCACGCTCTGCAAATTACACCAGGGAAATCTCTTGGAATAAAAATTCATACCAATATAACGTTCGCCATAAAGTCGCGGGAATTAACGCTGTTGTTTTTCCTTTTTATTCGTTTTTACGGGTGCGGACTTTGAATTTTGATTCGACTATAAAAAATTTTCCCGGTGAATTTAAAAATTACTGGCAGAGTTTAAGTCTTCTGGGAGAAAAACGGTATTCAAGTTATCGACAAAGTTCACACCTCCATAATTTTGCTTTTCCATCATTCCTTTGTTCACTTTTATTCACTCTAATTTCATTTTTTCAACCCTTCAAAATTTGATCACGTCAGCACCGAACAGTCAAATCAATTTAACTCCCAAATTTGGTCCCCCCAAATTTCTTAATTGCTGGTAGTTTTACCCAAAGGGCAAAAAAGCGCTCAAATACCTTTCCGCCAGGAGCTCTGTCAACTAAATTTCGTCATCCTGCTCATAATTTTACTGATAAAGTCATAACTTTTATTTTTTAAGTTGACATCTGCAAAGTTTTATTTGCCAATCAATCCAACTTTTCACTTTAATTTTCTTTTTACTTTGTTACTGTCAGTCTCGTCACGGATAAAAGCATTAAATTATAACCAAAGTTTGACCGCTTCGAGCAAATAAACCGCTTTGAGCAAATAAACCTCTTTGAAATATTTAAGTCTTCACAAATATATCTGTCTGAATTTACCTGTTCAAAAAAAATTTGCAGAAAAAAAATATTAGAAAAAAAATTTCCGTTGTGACCAAAATTTTATAAAATTGTCAGATTTTGTGAAATTCGAAATGGCATCAGGGAGTCACAACCACCATCAGAGTTCCTCCGCAAGAGGGCGGACCAAACAGAACAAGTACGACGTCGCCAACTCGTCTGTCATCCGAGAGTAAGTGTGTTATGTCAAAAAATAAAACAGTAAATATTTGAGGCACAAGTGTCATACAAGGAAGGATCTTTGTAAAAACCAACTGTGACAGGCGGATCCCAACTATTCCAATTCAAAGCAAGTAAAGCAACTAAGTTTATCATTTTGCGCCAATTGATCGTTTTTAAGATTTTAATTTTTGTATTATTATTTTGTCTCATTTATGCTAACTTACTCGATGCTTTAAGTTACATCACTGAAAAATTAAAATCAAAAACGATGAAGTACTGTGTTTTCATTCGGGAGAACCCTGTTTGTTTTTTGGGACCCCTCTTTTTAAATTGCACGAAGTTTGATAGAGTGATCACACAAAGACTTCCGTACCCAGTAAATTTTCTAAATCAGATCTGAAATAATCTTTTTTAGATCTAGATTTCAGATCTGAAATGGGTTGTGAAATGTTTAATTAACACTTGGAGACTCAAATTATCGTTTTTTTAGATTTAATTTCAGATCTGAAAATGTTTTTCTTGCTTATTTCCGGTCTGAAAAAATCTACTTCAGATCTAATTTCAGATCTGAAAAATCAATGATCCTGACACAATTTTTCCTATTTTTGATTTTTTTGTATTTGTTAGCTTCTGCTAGCTACTAGCAGGTACTCAGCAAAGTTAAAGTTGGAGACTGTCAAAATATGTTTCCCCAAGCATCAAAACTTTTTAATACAGTTGAACAAGATATTTAGTTCCAAAGAAAATTTTTGTGAAATTATTGGTAAGTTGTTTTTACTGGTAGATATTCTAAACATAATTGTGTATTCCAAAAACATCAAAAAAACTCAACTTTTGTGCTCGAAATGCAAAAATTATCATTTAACAAAAGATTTCCCAGATCTGATTTCAGAGATGAAATTTTGTTTTTCAAGCTAATTTCAGATCTGAAACTTTGTTTCTCAGATCCAAATTTCAGATCTGAGTTTTGTAAATTCTTATGAAGATCTGAAAGTAAACTGATGTAAGAAATAAAGAATTACAGATCTTGCACAGAAAATCCGCTGGGTGCGGGTTACACTGATTATAAGTCTTACAGCAATTAATTAAATCAATAGAGAAACTGTTTGATCGTTTTCAAGTCTTTTCTTAAATTTTAATTAGGCGGCTTTATTTGCATTAGCCAGTTCCATAGTTTCTTTGACATCATCGAAGCAAGGAAACAAAAAGTTTTCAGTATATGATTAAATAACCTGTTAATTTCTGGGCACTTATCTGCTACACGTGTATAAAAGTAGCTAAATAGATAAACAAGGATTTAACAGATTTCCTTTTATGATTTCTCTTCAAAAGTTTGACACTTTAAGACAAAAAAAAGAACAATTCATGGCAATTTCTAACTTCGACATATTAACAAAAACCAGTAAGTTTCAAGTTGCGGCAGAACAGCAATCTTAGTAAAACGCTGAACAGCTCGTATGTTCAGATCAACTCATTAAAATCCCATGAACTATCTGTTTTGTTTCTGTTATCTTTTATTTATTGTATTTATCAGAAGAGCATATACGATTTCTTAATAAAAATTAGAATTTTTTTGAATGTTTCTACATCAAAAAAGTGACTATTTGTTTGTGCTTGGATTTGAATTTTTTTCAGACGAATAATGACTGTTTAATTTTTTGTTGCGGCAAACGTTTTTATACCATCAGGAAGATTGTAATGTTCTTAGTTCTGAGCAAAAAATATTATTTTAGTTATTACAAGTAAAACAATCATAAAAAAGCTATTGATGATACCTAAAGGGGCTTTAAACAATTCAGGGTTTATGCTAAGATGAGCCACTAGTCTTCTATTCACGCTTGTTTGGTTTCAATTTTTGACAAAATACGTCAGCGTTTCTTCATCGACTTATTTTATTACAGAAAATAAATCAACTGGTAAACTAAAAACTAAAACAGTATATACTATTAGGTTTTTGATTCTCTAGATTTATGAGTAAGTATCATCGTATCAGCCATTAGTCAACCCTATCAAAAATCAAGTTGAATTGAAACGGTTGCTAAAAATCTTTGGTTGCTAAAAAAACGGTTGTTAAAAAAGTTAGCAAAACAGATGGGTTAAAAAAATTAACTGGAATCTGCATCTTACAATTATCACTGATAAATTAGGCTAATCAGAAAAACACCTTAAATATTAAATATGGAAAATTACACATGCCATACAGTTTTTATGAGTTTTCTAAAATAATTATGGAAAAGTTAGTGTTGATTTTTAAAGAGAAACTCATTTTGATATGATATTTTGATTTGAATTGACTAGAGTGGTTTTTTAAAACATGCAATTGATATATTTAATTTTTAGTGAACAAAGTATTTTTCAATTAATTAGGTCTTGTTTATTAAGGAAGTCTGAAGCTTTGTTCACACTGGCTTGTAACTTCTCGCGATCGATTTTTGAGTTTTTCAAGTTCAAATTAAATTCAATTGCTAAAACGAAGACAAATTTTGCGTTCTTTTTAAAAAACGGAAAAAAAACGTGAATGACATTCAAGATCAATAGTGGAGTCAATAATTAGTTTTCGATTCAATTTCTTTTATTTGGAATAGTCTAATGAAAAAATTCTTTAAAAAGGATTTGAGTAGTAATTTTTTCTCCAAAATTTGGTGATGTAAAATTTTTTCATCAAAAAACTATTGTTTTAGCGGCCTGATTCTTGACATTTTGAACTGTCTGTTCCCTTAGGTTGAAACTTCAAATGTTGAAGCTGCAATGTGTATGATTAATTTTTTTTTTCAAATAGTTTCTTCAGTCGTTTCTTCTAAAAATCAATAACTCAGACTGCAGACTGTTATAACTAGCTTAAAGTTGAAGTTTTTAAAATTTGACGTGACAGTTTTGCTTGGTCAGATAGTTTTTATAGAAACATAGATACCCCTATGAAAAAAAATCTCCTTTATCAGAAAATTTTTTAAGAGTAAAAAGCGGCAGAAATAATTTGCAAATCCTTCCAAACATTTTTTGGAATTGCATGAAACTCGTATAGAAAATATGTTTTTATAGACTCCATGGGTGGAATATGTGACAAGCATTTTTAGACTAAGGTGATTGATTGATTTATCCGAATAATTGAAAAAAAATTACCGAACTTTTTGGAAACGGATCACCATTAAATTGTTAAATTGCACGCATTGTTCAAGCAACGCATCGGCCCTGTGTTCAATTTCAATCAGCGATTTTAATTTCAAAACGAGTTTTTCTGTTCTGTTTTTCAATTTTTTGAAAACTATGGAATTGGGTGGAATAAATCAACCCGCAATTCAGGGCAATCGTTGCATACTTATACAAACGTGTTTTATAGCCATAAGGGTTATTTCGAAATGCAAAACAAAGGAATGAATTCGGTGTTTTTTATTGTTATTTCCGACCACTAAAAATGGGGAATACTTTGCAAAATGTGTTTCTAAAATTGAGCATCAAAAACGTGTTTGAGAGGGTTATATCGTATTCAAATCAGCGTAAAAGTTATAATGCAAAATTGCTCGAGTTTGCTTTTTTCAGGATTTCGCAATCGTAATTTTGTTAGTTCGAATTTAATTTTTATATGCCGATTACTTGAAAAAATTAAAAATTCTCCACCTGTCTTTAATATATATTTAGAAACTCCAAATGTTTTTCAGTTGATTGAAAATAAACAACTCGAGCGCTGAACAAAATCAGAATCAGCCGAGGTTTATATAATTGTTAGAAAATGATTGTGCTCAAACAGCTAAGTGATATCGACCGGTTCATTTTTGCAGTTGTTTACGTTCTGAGCTGAGACACTTTTGATAAATTTTACGATCACGGAAGAACCCAATTCATGTTTGTTATGTCTGATTGAAAGTTATAAACTTCAATTTGATCAGTTTTAGGCATAATTTCGACTTCAGTTCGACCGTGTTTAGTCAGCGAATTTCTTATCTCGACTTGAACAGTAAAAATAAAAGCTAATTTTTCATGAAAAAGTGTTGTTTTAAGTAAATTGAGTAATCAAAGTATTGGAGTTTATACCAGATTTGTTTCAGATATCTAATAGTAGCTTTACAATTTTCAGTTCTTTTTTCCATATTTTATGCTCTGAGCGAGAGATGACCTTTCAACCTTCAATTTCATCAGTTTTTTTTGGTTCGTGTTCACATTCAGTTTTCAACAGCGCTTTTTGTAAATTAAAGAGATGAAATATAATGTCCCAAGGCTAGCTATTTGATCTTTTATTTCTAAGTTCAACCACATTTAAGCTTAAATGTGATCTGATTTTCTTCTAATTTCAACTAAATTTCATCTTTGTGTAAAATTTGCTAAAAAATGTTGCGATTTGAATTGCGCGCTTACATTTGGATGACCTTTTTCTGTCAATTAGCAATCGGCGGAATTCCTTATATAAAACCAAATTCGACGTAAAAATATGTCAGACAACAAGGAAGATAAAACCACGTGATCTAGCTGTTTGATTATTATCAGAACTGAGATTGAAATTTAGTTCTATTTTGGCAAGGACACTGAAAAAAATCATCTCAGAATGTTTTAGTTCAAAAACTGAACGTATGCTATTTAATTGAAAATTATAGATGCTTTACTCGTATAAAAGACATAACCATACAATCACTCCATCAGTAAGATATTGTTTTGCTTTGATCTAAATTGCTCGGCCCTGATAAGCTCTGAAATGGTAAAGTAAGTTTAACAAAAATCGTAAATTGTAAAATAAAAAATGCAGATTGATTGCTGCTTGTATCTATTTTGACGTCACTACGAAAAAAAAATTCAGCAAAGCATTCAGCGCAGTTTAATTTTTTTTGCTAACTTCTAGAAAAAGATCTTAGTACTTAAAACTCTAGCAGCCCTTTTTGCTTTCAGTTTCAATATTCCTGATTGTATATATTAACAAAGTAAAGTAACTGTGATTCAAACAAGTCTACTTCCTGATAATTAGTTTGAGTATTAACAGTTTTAACAAAAAAATTTAATTTTAACAATTGCAATGAATTTCAAAGCAATGACAACAACAAGTGTAATTAACAAATAGCATTAGAAGCGGAAGTTGAAAAATTATTGATAAGAAAATGGATATGGTTTATCTTGAATGATTGTTGCTGTACGTTGAATAACTGATAATGCTTGCCGATGCTGCGATCGAGACATGTTTGATTTGAAATACAGGTTCTGAAACTAAACTCGAAATTAAAAAATAGGACATTACGATGCTAAAATGTGCATAGGTAGGCGCACATTTTCGTGTCCGCAGGTCTCTGCAGGAGACAATATGACTTTAAATATGTCAAAATTTTGTCGAAGCAATCAAAGAAATTGACAGAACGAAAATAGAGCGAAGGGATTGTCCTGGTTGCAGAATCTACCAAAAAATCACAAACTCGACAAATTGGCCTCGTAATGGAAATTGTTCTTGAAATTGGAATTCAGGAAAATATCTAGTGATTTTAAAGATAAGTTTGCTGATACTAACAAACAAGAATGTTGAAATAAAACGCAAGATAATATGATACATTTTTTTTACAACTCCATATGTGTCGAAATGTAATTTAAAACTTTTCATAAGGGCTTCTTCCGCCTAAACAACATAGACGACCAGCACATTTTGATCAATTTTTTTAAATCAATTTTCAATGTAGTGTTTGGAAACGTTATGATTAATCAAAACGAACAGAAAATGTTTTAAGCCTGGTTTATCCAAAAAAATTGTCATGGAGATATCAAAAATTTAAACCAATTTTCTTAGAAATTTGCTCAGGAGTATTGTTAATCAATTGCTTATCTTTCTTTAAAACCCAAAAATGGCCAAAAATCGATTTTTAGGTATAGTGGTAGCAGCTGATGGGTGACCAATCGGCTTGCATAATATTGATAGCTTTTTCTATGAAATACAAAACAACAATATTATTGCGTTCAAATTGAAAAATTGGGTTTCTGATAAAATAAAAGTGAGCTATTAAGAAATTAGGAAATTAACTAGCAAATGAACTTCCTTGTCACATAAATTAGGATCAGTCATACCCCGACTTGTGATAACTCGAGCAGATGGCCCGAGTTTTTGCAAGTCGGACCAGTCATGATAGGATCAGTCAAATTAGGATCAATCATGCCCGACTTGTAATAACTAGAGCTGTAGAAGTCCAAAAAATAGATTTTTTTAATACGTTGTTGACTGATGTTGTTTCATCAGTCAAAATTTAGCAGAATCTTTTTGTCACCAAAGTTTTCCAGAAAAAAAACAATTTTGAGAAAATCTATTGTTTTTGCATACAGGAGCTGACGTATACATTTATCGGGGGGGGGGGGAGTATTTTCCAAAAAAATATCAAAAAATTTAGTGAAGCTTCTTAGGTGGATCTTATGGAGTTTTCGAGCTCTTTTAACGCCGTTTTTGGGCATTTGTTGGAAAGTTTTAGCTGAAAACTTTGCTTTTGTTACACGCGTTTCCCTTTAAAATTAATAAATTTTGATGCCGATGGCGCGTTTAAAAAATTTTAGGGTCAATCGGGTAGTGAGGGCGTCGAATCACTGAGGGGTGATGACTGCAACCTGCTGCTTTGGTAATCACTTAAGTTTTTAGTTTTTGTTTTGTGACTATTTAAACCTGAGACTGAACAGTTCGGAACGAAGCTGATTCAACACACGAGTTAATATATTCAGTTTCTCTTGTTTGCTTATGGATTTTCTCTTCATGTCTTGCTTAAAATATTATTTTTTAGCCTTTTTGTCATTTCCTAGTCTCAAAAACTTTTCTTTTCTAACAGAAAACTCTGACGTGTTGAAAAGTAGGTAACTATGTAACTAACCTCAGGAGAAACAGTAAAGTTACGCAGATTTTCTATGAAAAACGAAAAAATGAAACACCCGGCCATTTATCCGACAAAAGAATTTGAGTTGAAATTGAAAGTTTTGTGCAATCCAGAGGAAAGTATAAAAGTAAAGTTTCCCTCAAAACGAGTCAAAATTAGGTCGAAAAGTAGATAGATTTTATCGAAGTCAATTAAGCAGAATCAAGTTTTCAAGCAAAAAAAAACAAAAACCAGGAAATTTAAAAAATTCCGAGTATTGAAAATCCTAAAAAAGAAAACCCAAACAAAAAAAAAAGATTTTTTTTTTGCCATTTTTTAATAGTTTTTTGGAGCCAATGAAACTAATTTTGAAACTGAAAAGAGTTTCAAGTTTTAAATTTCAGCTCAAGTTGACGCTCCAGTTTTTAAGAACCAATGCAGATGTCAAAATTTATAATGTACTAATGAAATTATTAGATATGAAAAAAAATAATTTGGAGCTACGCTGTTTTCAGCTCATTTTTTTTCTCCTTGCCCATATATTTTTATGCCTGAATTCTCAACAAAACTTCGCGTGAATTATTTGCCGTTTTTTGTTTGCAAGGTCAAGAAAGGTAAAAGTTTTCTGTTCGAAGTTTTGATGATGTCTTTTGGCGGATCTATTACACTTTTGGCTCAGTTTGTCCTTTCAATTGACAGAAAAAATTATATCAACGTCCTAATTATTGCAAATTGTTTGCTTCGTTGATCTTAGAATTGAAGCTAACAATTAATCCAAACTTTTCGGATTCTTCAAGCTACACAAAAAGAGCAAGTTTTATAAAAAAAAATCAAATTTCACTCATGTATTTGATACAATTTTGTAAGAAAAATAGGGTTCAAAATTTTGATTTTTTTTGGATATTCGTGTAATCTTGGAGCCAAATGCTGATTTGAAGAAATCTGTACTGTCACTTTCGACCAAAGGCCGATTTAGACGTGTTGTCGTTTTACTTTAAGTCTGCGTGAACAAGTTTTTCCTAGAGATTAAAAGGTCGGGCACTTCGCGGGTCTCATTTCAATCTGATTCTGATTCTTAAGTTCTCTAAATCTTTATTAACACCTTGAGAATAATTTTTTTTCTTCACAATGTTCATCGTGGATTCCAGTTTTGAGGCATATTAGTATCACAATCAAAACATCTAAGATTTGTTCTGTTTTTTGTTTGTTTTGTTTTTCAATTTTACCCTTCAAATTTACTCCTTGGCTGTATTCAGCGAGCTTACAACAGAAACTGTTTTGAAACGATTGAAATAAGAAAATAAACAACTTAAATGAGCTGCATGGTTTTTTAGGAGCCAGTTGAATATTAGAGCCTTGATTTAAATTACGCGATAAGTAACCTAAGCTTATCATTTTTCCTTAAAAAATTTTCCTCGTTAGAGCTTTAATTTCAGTTGTATCATTCATTATCTTTGGGTTTCGTACAAAACGGAATTTGCAACTGGTTCAGCGGTCAAAATTTAGCCAAGTGGTCAAATCTAGGGAAATATAAAAGCTTATTTTGTTGGCTGGTTTTTCGATTTTTTTTTGTCATCTAGATCTATCTAAAAAATTTGATAGAGTAAATTTGTCAGCCAATATTTGTATTTTTTTCGCAGAAGTGTCAAATCGAGCTCTTTGATCTCAATTGTAACAACGGATTTAGTCTGCTGGTTTTCAGGTTCTTCTACAAAAAAATGTGAAAAATCATTAAAAGTAAGTTAGACTAGTTAAAAGAAAAAGATTAAAAGTTCTAGTGGTTGACATACTTTTTCGGGTTTATCTACGGTGGATAAACATCGCTAAAATGGTTAAAAAATTAATAAATCAAACAAAAATTTTCAACTAAACTGAGATTTTTGATTTTTTTACATGAGTTAGTAGTTTTTTGGACATTTTGGAGCAGTGGAAAAGAGCGTCCCACTAAAAATCGAACCCAAAAAAACTAGATTTCCAAGAAAGCCGTTAGCAACTACTGAGTGCGCATCTTAGCAAGGAATCAATCAGCTACAACCTGTGTCTCAAAATTGCTGTCCTTTTTCTGATTTAACGCAGACATAAATTGTTTTTCCCAGCACTAAATCATCGATAAAACAGTGCCAATTAATCGCTGACTGAAAAAGGCATCAAAGTTTTTTCTAGCTATCGATGGCCAGTTATTAACCTACAATAATTCAGTAATACTGAATCATCAATCGACTAATTATTACAAACTTGAATTTAATTTTTACGGTTTTGTCAAAAATTAAACATTGTTTGATAAGTTAACTGAAAATGTTCACAAAACTGGGTTTTGAATGACGCTGCGGTGTAATCTAAAAACGTTCATCTCGGATGCAGTACTTCTGCAAAAACAATTTTAAGTTCCATGCAATTTTTTTTAAATTTTGTTTATGAAAAAAATTTATTTTTTTTTATAATAAATTGATTTTTTTCAATAAAATTACATTTTTTGATGATAATAATTTCTTTTTCGATGTTTTTATTACTAGTGAAATTATTATAATTTGATTTTTGAAATAATATGATTTGTTTGCGTTTAGAGTGAACCACAAAGACTACGGCATATCAAATGAGAAGTTCAACGACATAAAAGAGATGTTCAAAATGTACGACAAGAATGGCGACGGGAGGATATCGAAGGGGGAGTTGATGTTGACCATGCAGCTCATAGGGGCCAACCCCACCAAGGACGAGGTGGAGAATATGATCAGAGAAGTCGACACCGACGGTCAGTCACTCTTTTTCACTCTTTCTGTAATTTTCTGGGTTGAAATTGTTTTTTTTCACAATATTCTTATAAAATTTTTACAATATGTTTTCGCGAACAGAATTCTTACCAGATTTTGAATTTTTTTAGAATTTTACTAAGACCCGGAGATCGTTGGATCCCCGGGTCTTAGCAAAATTCAAAAACTTATTCAGAATTTGGTTAAAATCCTGTGCGCAAAAACATTTATATTGTAAAAATCTAATAAGAACAATGTGAAAAAAAAAAAACAATTTTAGATGTACGGTTCATATAAGAAAATGAACAAAGATTAAAGATTCTTTTAAGATTTCGAATTGCAATATTACCAATGATAACTTCTCCAAGCATAGTAACCAAAATATGCTAAGAGAAGGAGACACGGACGGTGAGTTCTTGTTCTAGATAGTTACTGGCTTTTTAAGTTTTTAAAATTTTCTTTTAAATTTTCTCCCCCACCTCACATAAGCATCAGCTTTTATGGATTAACGAGGAGTTTTACAATGTTAAGTATGAAGACCAATAAGTTTATTTTGGCCTAAATTTGCTGGGGTGCTATAGGGGGGGGGAGCCAGATAACTGATAAAACTGTAACCAAAAGGAAAATCACTTAAGATTTCGAGAAGAAATCCAAAGGAAATTGCAAAGATATTGATTTCACATTCTGAATAGCGAATAGGTTAATATTTGAATAATTAATAGCTACAAGGTCAGTAAATTTGTATCTACCACATAAATTGCTAAGCTGGAAACTTCTAACAATCGAAAATCAAAAATTAAGAAAAAATTACGACTATCTTCTTAAGGGACGAAAGACGATACCCGCAACATTTATCAATTTTGAGTCAGAAATTTTAATAGTTTTTTTTAAATAGTTTTTCTATGATCCCTTAGGTTTTATTAACGTATCTTCCTGGCAAATTTATACTGGCTACATGTTTTTTGTTTATTTTTTGATGTTTGTGAGTTGTTGCAGGAAACGGATACATTGAGTTCAAAGAGTTTGTGCAGTTTGCCAAAGTGTACCTTCTCAACAGGGATCCGGAGAAGGAGTTGAGAGACGCCTTCAAAGTGTTCGACCGCAACGGCGACGGAGTCCTAGACGCCTCCGAAATTAGGTACATTCAGTCAGTTTTTTCTCAAGTCAACCAGTCCGGATGTTAATTGTTTGAGGTTTAAGTTAACAAGAGCGCATTTAATCAGCAATTTTTGCCCCTCCTCCCCTCCCCCCTCCTCACATAAACATCAATTTATTGCTGTAACGAGGGGTTTTAAAGGGTAAAGTATGGAAACCATATATGTTCGTCAGGTCCGAATAAGTCGGCATGTCAATTTTTATAACAATCGGACAATGTGTACAGTAAGAGTACCAGTAAAAATTAGCAAGTGGCGGGAGCCTAACCAACGCCCACGCACACATTAAGCTATGACTTACTTGCAAAAGCTCACCTTAAAATTTGCAGCGCACGTGCATTTTGAACCAGCAATCATACGATTGCTGGACACCATCAATACCGGGGCGCAATGATGCCACTCTTGTAGGTTTTATACTTATCTTAGGTCAACCTATCAGTTCACATGGATGTTTGGGGGTCTTTTTTAATATCAGGTCCCAAAATATAAAACGTGCCAGTTGAGCATCTGCTTTTTTTGAAAATCAAGACTTTTTTTGCTGATGATAGCTTTAGCGAATCAGATTTGAGCATTATGATCAAAATTTCAGAGTAGCAAAAATACAGTAACAGGCGACAATTCGTAACAGTAGATTAAGCAGCAATAATTTACGCGCAGTATTATTCTGTGCCGAATGTGAGCGCAGCGGATCAAGCATTCGCAACTTGCCAAAGCCTTGTTGCGAATTGTCGCTTGTTACGAATTGTCGCTTATTACAAATTGTCGCCTGTTAAGAATTGTCGCCTGTTACTAACAGTAAATCCTAATTTATTGGATACTTACAGGGAAGCTGTATACTTTTTAATTGAAATATCAAATAAAAATGAAGACTCAAAAGCATAAAGGCTTGTAAAGACACCCGAATTAGCTTCAGTCACGTATTTTTTGTATGATTTAAACCAAACAACAATACCTGATGCTTTTACACACGAAACTTCTATGGAATAATACTCAGCGAAAATGCCAACAAAAAAGTTTGTTTTCCATAGCTAAATAATTAAAGGGTTTATAAAGACGTTAACTTTCCCATGAAAACAACACCAAGTCACGTTTCACCAACACTGTCTAAGCAATTTTTTTTATTTATGCTTTTGCAATATGGTCGTTGCTTGGTTTATTATGAAAAACTAATGATCTCTGATTAAGCGGCATAACCTTATAGTGTAAATTACAGCTTTTAGTTATACATGAGGCCTCAATTTAGCAGACAGTGGTAATAAAAATTCAAGGAATTTTCATCATTGCATCATAGAAAGTCCGCAAAAATAAGGTCTTAAAATAAACCTCAATCTTGGATTAATGTTTCAGCATCAATTCCATGCTATTACAGCCTCCACTTTTGCTTTGTTACTATTCTATACAGTCAGTAGTGTAGTGATTTTTTCCGAGATGAATCAGCACTAGGTATTTCATTAATGATTTACCTCTTTTCCAGCTGTGATCATGCCAAAAGGGACATGATTAGAGCCTAAACCCTCAAGGAAAAAAATATAACTTTGCTGGAATGCCAAAAACTTTTCTTGAATAGCACACCTCAATTCATTAGTCAAACATCCCAATTGATTCTCCCAACTAATGATATTTTTCAATTTTAAAAGGTCACTAGATATGAAAAAAATGACTCATTTTTTTTAATTAAAAAAAGAAACATTCGAAGTTTCATAGAAAAAAATTAATGCCCTGCAAGTTCTTTGAATTTTACGAACAATTTTTTATTGGTGCTTTTTGGATGAAATTAACCCAGATTGAGAAAACTGGATCAATATGTAAAATTTCTACTTTGCTGGGAAATCTGAAAAACAAATTCCACTTTCGGAACTGAAATTCGATCACGTTTTTCGAGATTTTTACATTTTGCTGTTAGATAGTGGAATTTGTTTTTCTTTCAACAAAGAAATGAACTGAATTTAAATAGAAATCACAAGTCAAACCGCGAAAAATCAAATTGCGGGTGAACAAAATTCATAACTTTCCTGACAAAAAAAATCACCAATACCTACATACAAAGTACTCACTATGTTCAATACCCTTGATTAAGCTATACTTTATTTTATTAACTTTAACAAAATCAAATGTAATTTGTTCTCAACGGACCTAAAAACTCAAAAAGTTTTTTAAAACATCAATTAGGTGCAGAACGATCCACCAGCAGGCTTTAAATGAGAGACAGGAGTTAGTTTGTTTGCAATTTATGGAAGTACTGTAATTTAGCTTTTAAATCCAAGGGAAGCTTATGGATATGGGTCTAAAGGTAGCAATTTATATCAATCGATTAGCACAGAATCAATTTTTTAATTCTTTCTGTCAAACAGCCCACATTTAATGTTTTTTTTTTCAAATATCTATTTTGAAAACTTAATCAAATAGCTTGGTTGAAAACTATCTTGGTTGAAAAAACAAATAGTTTGGTTGAAAACTATCAAGACCGAAAGTAAAGCTGTTGTGGTAAAACTTTTTCCTATAATTACCCATTTTTTGAAGCTTTTGCTAATGTTTAGCTTACAAGTATGCTCGAGTTTACGCGAGATGGAATTTGAATCACAGCTAGACTGGAACGAAAACTCAAAAAGTTTACTATTCCCTGGGGTTTTTGAATCCTTTAAGGAAAAATAAATTTGACCTTGAAAAGCCTTTATTGATATGTCATGTCCGGCGGGAAATCATAATAAGGGCACTTTGAAGCGAACATTTTTGACGTCAATTACTTGTTTAGCTGTTGTGATTCGATTTCGAATTGAATCTAAACTGATTGTTACTTGTCCCCAGGGACTTTTAGAGTTTGACTATGATAAAAATTTCCAAAAATGTATTTTTCTCATAATCTTTACGTTTCAGTAAAATCATGCGCTCAATGGGAGAGCGACTTACCGAAAGGGAAATTCAGACGATGATCAACGAAGCCGACAGAAATGGGGACGGAAAAATCGACATTGACGAATTCGTCCGAATGCTGCTTTCGAACCAATGACCTAATCGGCTTGCTCAGTTTTCGGCTCAACAATTCCTTATGTTTAATGCCGCGTTATGCTTCATTTAAATTTATTCGAATTTAGTTTAAATTAATTTAAAATGTTTAGTAATTAAAATTAAATGAAGTAAGTTTTGATGTTTAATTCAAAAAATTTGCGCTTTCTTTTCATTATTTATCAAATCGGCTTCTCTTAATTAATTGACTATATTAATGTTTGTAAATTTGGAATTACTTGGCATTAATTATTCTATTTTCATTTTGTTTTAGAATATGTGTTAGTAAATTGAATCTAATTTTCTATTTCTGTCGCAATTTCACAATCATCAATTAAAGTTATTTTCTAATCTGTTTCAAATAATTACTGCTTTTAATAATATGGTTTTGCTTTCGGTGGGCAGAATAAATTTGCAAAAAAAAACAAATATTTTATTATCACTTTAGAATTTTAAACATGTATGTTAAAACCGAAGCATTAACTTGCTTTCAACAAGCAGAAACTTTCTTTATGGAAAAATTAAATTTTAAAAACTACAACAGCAAAAAACCCAACCTAGAGTAAAGAACCGTTCAGAAAACGAACAAATGATTCACCCAGATTTTTAAAGCGGTCGGGTCCACCTTATGTTTGCTTTTTAGAACAAGTTTTGAAGATTGACCAAAAAAACTTGTTCAAGACATAGGTCGGCTCCGTTCGATACATTAAAAAACCAGAATCCATCGAAGTCAAATCACCCATTTTTTGTTCCGACCATTGAAAATGCCTAGAAACTTTTTTTCGTTTTCCACGCAAATCGGTACCACAAATAATCATTGGACTGAGCTGAGTGATATAGCATATTAAAGCCTTTACAGTCGTGATTCGAATCACATTAGAAATTTCAAATAAATGTTTCCAGTGTCGAGAAAAACCGATTTGAAACTTTTGATTTTTCGTTATATTTCGAGCGATAAAATATTTTTAAGACTATGGTCTGATGATTTTGTGCTACTTGCACAGTAACCGGCCATCCGTATTTTTTTGGGTTTTTCTGGACACCAAATTTGCTGTCAATAAAAATAAACGTGCGATATTTCTCGGAACCTCTTTGCTCATCTGAACGCAAAAGTTAAGTTTGACACATAACTATTATAGATAACCTTTCAAGCTCCGACTGTCCATAAAATGTTCTCAAATAGTTGTCGGTTAAAAAATTATTGACTAACTATGATATTTATGTTGAATATTAAGAAAAGTGTATGGAATCATTAAGACTAATAAGCCGTCCTAAATTGAATTTGGAAAGATTTTGTGGTGCGGAATAATTCGCCACGCAAAAATGATGCGCGTTAAACTTTCAGCATCAAAGTATCACAGCGCGTTAGTCAGCTTTAGTGAGCGCTCCACAGCAAAATTTAAGTCAGGATAGTCTGATGGTGAGCGCGCCCCTTCTGTGACCATGAAGACCCATGGATCGCACCCCCGAGGGGTATACTTTTAAGCATTGGTCTGAATAAAAAACCCGAGCATATATATTCCTTACTTTCTCCGAAAGTCGGAACAAAAAGGTAACCTAAAAAAAGATACATATAAGAAAAACAAAAGAATGAAAAAAGTCCTATCAGAGTCGAATTGATCTAAAGCCTAATCCAAAACTAATCTCAAAACAATTCACATTAGCCAATGAGCATAAAAATCTAAACTAATAACAGTTTATAAGCAAGTTTCAGGCCCAGGTCGATTTCTTCAAATTTTGTCGGACAACGGAATTTGTTTAGCCACAAAGATGATAGAAGGTAAACTTCGAACCATACGTTTGATTAACACTTTGAACCCGAAAAATCAACTAGTTGAACACGAAAAATTAACTAAATTTTTAAATTAGGCACGTTTACTATAGTTTTCTCAGATTATGCACTCGTATGGATAGTGCTTTTCATTGTACGGCATGGCAGCTCGGCTTTTTCTAACAAATAGAAAACGTTTTGTTGGGTTTAATTTGAGCACTGTTTTTTTTACTGTGTTTTCAACTACAATTGAATAATTACAAACTGTCAAATGTTCTAAAATTGGTTACAAAAATCTTCAACAAAATGGACTTTAGATGTGAACGGAACAAAAACTAGCATTCAAGCCACATTGAGCTGAAGCCACTAGAAGAGCTGTTAACCACAAACCATTAGGTATCAAGAGATCCCATTAAAATTGTGCAGCCTATGATTGATTTGGGTGGTGAGACAAAATGCATTTAAGAAAATTTTCTTCCAATGCTTGTTCTGAGATCAACAATTTTAGCGCTTTGTGTGAGAACAAAAATCAACAGAGGCGAAGAATACTAGCGAGAACGGGGCAAAAAGCAGCTCTACAAAGTGCAATAAGAAAAATTAAAATTAAGCCTCGATTTAATACAAATTCGGCTACATCTCGGTTTCGAATCAGCGACATTGAGATTATGATTCTCTCGCACAAACCACTCAGCCACGGAAGCTGAATATCCATCGAACACTAGGCATAAATTAAGCAGAGAACAGATGCTAAAATTAATGCAGAGAACAGATGTTTAATAATAAAAAACGACAGCTAGAAAGGACCAAAAACTCAGCCGACAGATATTCAAAGAAACCATTAGACCGAAAAGCGCCAGAGAAACTAACTACCAACATGTTGTTCTATAAGCGCCAAAAACCTTGTACAACTTTCAAATTACCTGGAACTGAGAACTTGCAGAAAAAAAAACATTACGGAATGGCATGCATTTGAAACGCCGGAATATTTAGAAAAAAACATAGGGCTGAAAATTTTTTAAAAGTTTCTAACGAAGAAAGAGTCGGGCTGGGACTCGTATTTCTTACATATTTGAGAAATGTCGAGAATTTAGCTCTGCATCAAATGAGATTTGCAACAAACAAACTGCCAGCCTCTTGAATAAAAAAAAAGTTAATTACTGAAAATTCGTTTGCTTTTGCACTTGCCGAAAATGCGCAGAGTTTGCTGAAAAAATTCAAAACACTTGCTCTCGCAAGAGTTATTCTTTTAACAATTTGCAATACAACAAAAATCCAAACTAAATGTCAATAAAAACATTCGAAATCCTAACTTGATACAAGTAGTCCTTTTAAGCGATTACATGGAAACTTAAAAACAAAAACAAACAACAGACCTTTGGGAAAACGCTAATGAACTAAAGAAGGCCAAAAATTGAAGACAGACCTTTTTGAAAAACTTTAAATTTCCGATTTTTAGAGAAAAATGTTTTGAACTCTTTGAACTTCAAGAACCATTTAAAGTTGATACTTTCTCGATGAAACTAACCAAACTCGCGAGGGACCTAGATTGAAAGATGATTTCTCATTCGGGTAGGACATCTAAATAAAATCTACTTTTGACACAAAAAGTTCACTTTTTCGTTCTTGGAGAGTGAAATTTACCTCCCTTTTTGCAAAAAAAAAATAAAAACAAAATGAATTTAGAAAAAAAAAACAGTTTAAAATGACAAAAATTTGATGCCTGGTGAGCAACTTATAAGTATTCCTGAAAAAAAGGCGGGTTAAATAAAAGGATTCACGTCGTTCATTGACACTACAGAATTTTGTTTCTAAATTGACTTGTGAACTAAATTTTTGACATGAAGTCACTCTAAATATTTTTTGCTAGGGCGAAAACAACGTAATCATATCAATCACAAAAGAAAAACTGAAGAGGAAAATCTAAATAAATTAAACATATTCATCAAATATTGAAACAACTTCACACAATGCTTTACGTTACTGCTTGTTTCTTAGTTCATCATCGACAAATAAAACAAAATGTCTATTTTGCAGCCAATCTAAAATTTTTTGAAATATATAGTTTTATTCAAAGCTAATGTTCAGTGAACTGTACGAAATTGTTTTGCTCATTAGAGGAGCTTCAGAAACTTTTGCTGTAACGTATTGAATTTTTATGTTCGTGTAAAATAATGTTTTTCCAAGTCTGCTGTCGCCCGTATGACTTCGGTTAGATATATATTTACCACTTGGCTACATTTTCTTGAATTCTCTACTTTTCTCAAACTCTTTCAACTTTCTTGTTGCTTTTTTCTCGAATATGAAGTATGGAAAAAATTGAAATTTTTAAGCCAATGACTTCAGAAATGGATTCCACGTCTGTATACGCAAATGCATTATAGTCAGGCTTCTGTTTCTGTAGTTGGTTTTCAATTCACTCGTTCGAAAATGCAGGACTCATCTTTTTTCGTTTTCAAGCTTCGTTTTCTTGTTCTTCGGATGAAACAGTATCAAATTCTCCAACTTTAAAAAACTGCGACACTCGAATAAACTTATTTGGTCTTCGTCTCTATGACCCTGTCCACCTTTAGTGTCCTCGTCACTATCAGTTTTTTTCGAGCAAATTTCTATACTATCTTCAACTTTCGTTTTTTTTTCACTCTGTTATTTATAAAGTTCATAAAATTCTGTCGTTTATTGTCTGAAATTGGCTGCTTTTTGTAGATCTTCAAACTATTTTGGGTCGGTTCCGGCAAAATACAATGCGTGTATTTGTGTAATATAATCAGAAAGAAATAACTCGTCCACGGAATATTCGCTTTTGAACATAGTTTTCCGGATCATTTTATCCAGCACTAAGTTTATCATCCAGTTGTGATTGAACGGATTCCTCATTCTATCTGAGATTCTTAATTCAACGATATAAATTTTCCATGCATCTCTGCTTTGTCCGAGGAAGACACTCATCATATTACAGTCGGTATCATTCGACAGTTATATTTCGCAATCAACCACTTTGAAAATCTCAAAATATTGAATAAATCCCTTCAAATGTAATTTCAACTTTGAGCACCTCTTTTTCCGAACATTTTTAGCAGTAAGCAGACGCGTATCACCATTAAAGTAACGTCTAAACTCTTCAGCGTTCAAGTGAAGACTCACTGACATTTGTCAACAACTTCACGACTCGGTATTTTGGACTAAACTTCATCTCAGTCTGATCGATTAAAGCAACGTCGAATTGCTTTAATACTTCTTAAGCCGAAGTATTTGTTCACGACAGAAAATTGACTTGGAAGGCATCTTGCGCTGCATTACGCAAAAGGGATTTCAACATCAGCACCTGAAAATTAAAGATTACATATTAATAGCAGCGAGGCTTATAAAAACATATTATAATGACATATAATAAAAACTCGATTTCTATCCTCTAAATACTTGTAGATTAAGAAAAAAATGGATTTTCTACGCTTGATTTGCTCATCTGAAGCAATCTACAAACTCAATTCAGAATTAAGTGAAAAAAGAAAAAGACTAGTTGCTACCAATGAGCT